TCCCTCTGCAGAGCCTTCCTACCCTCCTTGACCTTGTCCAGTCTAGAGTTTTAGACAGCAGCCTGTGGAAAGAACTGCACCAAGGAGAGGAGTTTAAGGTCTTGGCCTTCTGGAGATGTCTGGCTGCTCATGCCAGAGACAGCTGGAAGAACCTCATACCACCTGAGAAATTGTTTGTTGGCTCTGATGATTCGAACCCAGACTTTTCCCTTCCTACAAGATAGAAAGCTTCAGCTGCCTCAGGCAGGGAACATTATAACATTATGCAGTGCTGTGACACACACTTTACTATCCCATTTCTCTCCTGGGAAGGGTTACCGTTCCCTGTGCAGGTCACTACTTGGTTGGCACCTCCATGGCTCACCTGAAGATGTCCAGTGTCTTGTGTTCTAGCACCAGGTTTGTGTTTCCGCTCAGGTCCAACTCTTGCAAGGCACCTGGCACTGCCTCAGGGATTAGGATTTCAGTTAACTCATTGCAGCTCAAGTCCACAAACTGCAGTATCAAAAAAAGCACAATGACAAAGAAAATATTCTCTGTTCTCTTATGCGGTCAGTTCCTCCAGTGCTCCTTCCAAACATCATATGACCCCACTACTGATCGTATCCCACAAACAGGTCATGAAAACGGGTCTGACCTATCAGTAGAAAAATGATTTGTAAGCAGCAAATATTTATAACCTGCAATAGCCAAGACTCCAATACTGAAAGAATAGGTCACACTAAAGATAATAGAAGGCCTATATATACAAACCTTCCTAGCTATATAACACTCCCTACTGTCTCAAATGGTAAACCAGAAATACACCAAGTCAGAGACAGACGGTAAAGATGAACCAGAGGTGAGCCACCTTTGATCAACTCTGAAAGGCAACAGATCTAGAATGCATATTGTGTGCTCTCTTCTCAGGTTGATGAAGCAAAATGCCGGGATCTCCAGTTCCTCTCCTAGCAGTTACTCTTCATCCTCCAACCCAAACTTTCCCCTGATACCTCTTTACCTTCTCCATAAGAATACCTGAATACGGGGCAAATGCAGGATCTCTGGAAAGATGCTGATTTCATTAGAGTGTGCAACAAGTGTATGAAGTAGCTTGCAGTTTGCCACTGTTGTGGGAATTGTTTTCAGTTTGTTGCCACTCAGATTCAGCTCTTCCAAGTGCTCCAGCTTACTGAGTTTGCTGAAAGGGAAACAAAAGAATACTGTATCTTATAGGCAAGAACTTGTCACTTTCTGAATCTGTAGATAAGGTATCCACAGACATTGTCCTTTGAGCTACATTTCTAATTTATTGATAGGCGACCAAGAGTCCTAAGAGATGCTCCGATTAGAGCTCAGGGACCCCAAGCTTGGCTTGGATTTATACACAGACAGATCCCTTCATCCCTGACTTCTAAAGCACTAAAGCAGAAGATTGTAGTGTCTTAATTTTAAACTGTCAAAAAAAGCTAAGCTGTGTCAGTCTACTTTGTAGGAATAAACAGATTTACATGGAAGTGGTTGTTTAGCCTGACCAGTAGCAGGAAGAATCATAGAATAGTTTGGGTTGGAAGGGTCCTTTAAAGGTCATCTAGTCCACCCCCCCTGCCATGGGCAGGGACATCTTCAACTAGATCAGGTTGCTCAGAGCCCTGTCTAACCTGACCTTGAATGTTCCCAGGGATGGGGCTTCTACTACCTCTCTGTTTCACCACCCATGGCAAAGCTTGCACAGATGCAATTAATATTGAATTAATTGTGCTGACATAATTAATACAAAAAACCCCTTAGATTTTTGTGCTAATGTAACAGAATTTGCTGGTTTTTATGAGAATACAAATTAAGCTGACACAGAAGTCTACCAATCTAGCACTAGCTCTCTACTATATTCCAAAGAAAATATATTTGATACCCCAAAACTGGATTGCAGACGATACTGAAAAGTAATAATGAATTAAGAATTCAGTGTAAGTCCTTCTAGTAGGTTTCTGCGGGGAGGCACTTTTGATTCAGTGACAGTCAATAGATCAGTGATTAGTAAGAAAAACATAAACACACACCGAATTATACGTAGTAAAATTTGCAGATAAAAAATATGGTGGAATCTCAACAGATACATATAGTAATACGAACTATTTGGTAACATGAACTTAAGAGCACTTGATTTAAATTAGCTAAGTAATGTTGTGCACATAGGAACTTGTACAAGTCACAATTAGAGAGGAAACAATCCTCAGAGACATGGCTCTGAAAAAGGCTTGAGTCAGATGCACAGGTACTCAGAACAGAACACTGTATAAAGATATCACCAGAAGGGGACTCAAGTAGATGCTCACAACGAACATTATCTGCTCATGATTTTCAGTAGAGCAGTGTCCAAGTTCTGCTATCTACATAGCCACAAAAGCATTGAGAATTTGGAAAGGGTTCAGGTTCAGAGGAACCCTTCCCACATACTAAGAAACTAAAAAGGCTGAGTATATTTATCATTATGCATAAACAGCTGAAGTTTTCTTAAGCTACGCTTGGAAAATGATAGAATCATAGAATAATTTGGGTTGGAAGGGACCTTTAAAGATCATCTAGTCCAACCCCCCTGCCATGGGCAGGGCCATATTTCGTTAGATCAGGTTGCTCAAAGCCCCATCCAACCTGACCTTGAACACGACCAGGGATGGGGCATCCACAACTTCTCTGGGCAACCTGTTCTAGTGTCTCACCACTCTCATTGTAAAACATTTCTTCCTTATGTCCAATCTAAATCTACCCTCTTCCAGTTTAAAACTGTTGCCCCTGATTCACGTATAATCGCACTAAGGCAGGCAACATCCTGCTGGTGAGCACTATCTTGCCCACCAGCCTTACTTATTTACCTTGCAGGGAAAGTCTGTAGGTTGTTGTTCGCCAGATGCAGGATCCGTAGGCGCGGGTGTCCCACCAAGACAGGGATGCATTGATCTGTGAGGTTATTATTGGTCAAGTAAAGCAGCTGCAGCATGCTCAGACTCTCCTCCCCTGTACATGCAGAGGGCAAGGACTCCAGGCTGTTTGCAGAGGCATTCAGGTACCTGAGGCTAACCATAGCAAGTACAAAAATCAGACTTCACATTACCTAAAAGACTCCATTAACAGCAGGAAAAGGAGCTATAGAAATGCCAGTGTGGTCAGAGCAACAGCATTAGACAAGAGGCCAGACAACACAGTGTAACATCCCTATTCACATTAAGATTTGGGAGTCTACTAATGACTTATTAGCTATATAGCACTGCGGATGCACACGGCATTTTACGGTAAACAGGGAGTACTGAAGAGCCTGTAGAGGGGGTGGGTAATACTGGTGGAAGGAGACTACATAAACTCTTACTCAGGGTCTTTAAAAGAAGGGTTGACTCATGTCTGAATAGACAGGTATGAAGGGTTATTTATTGTAAGCGTCTCTCTTGCTGTTCTCCAATGACCTGATGTACTTTCTGCTGTAATATCTGAAAATCTGTATGGCTTCTTTCCTTTGCACCTGAATTTAGGCACTACTTTCAAACACAAAGCTCTTCAGACAGTAACACGATCTTAGAAACAATTGCCACTGAAGCTAATTCTTCAGTTGGCTGTTGGGTTAGGCAAGCCTCTGTTTTCCTGTAATTAAATAGTAACATGGACTGATTCCCTCAAATCAGCTTGATGACTTCCCTCACGGCACCTGAATTACCTCCTGGTAAAGAGCACGCCTCATTATCTCTTATGCAAATGGCACCTTGCAAGGACAGTCACACAGACGCCACTATCAGCCTTTACAGCTCCAAAGGTTAATGCAGACAAAAGATGCTCACTACCGCCACTCACTTCAGAGCCTTAACAAAGAACGTCTCTGGGAGTTTAGTCAACAGGTTATGCTGAAAGTCCAGCACCTCCAGTGGAATGTGTTCTAGAAGAGGTGGAAGGCTCTGCAGACGATTATGCCCCACCATCAACTTCCGAAGGCTCAAGCTGCTGAGGATCCTAGAAAGACAGAGGGTTTTCTATATCAGCTTGGGTCACTCCTCTTCACATCCACAGAGTGGGAAAAGGTAGTACTTAATCCGTTCTAATTTGACTGTACAGCAGAGAAAAATTAAAATACACTGATCCATAAAATGTAAACAGTGACAAAGCAGAAAACCACACATGGTAAGGTGCCTCAGTCACTCTGAATGCTTGGAAGTGTATCTACATTTCCCTCTATGCTACTGCAGATCAGTAACTTGTGATATGAGTCTGTCTGTGTGCATATGCCTAGCATTCTTCTCAAGCAGACAAAAGAAGAGAAGTCACAAAGGATGCATTTAAATGCCTGTTTTCTCTTGTAGGCAGAAAGAAGTGCTTGCCCCGTGCCATCTTAAATTCAGAGCTTTAACAGGCTGCATAGCACTCCTGTATTACTTCTGAGGCTGTTGCCACATTCTCCAGAATTGAGTGCTTATTAAAGGAAAAGGCCCCTATCCCCACAAACTGCAGAGAATTGCTTGCAGGAATTTTGAGAAAGGGTATCTGAACACAACTGGCCATAGCCTAGAACCACCCTGCTCATTTGTGTTGAGGTGGTACTTTGGGACTATATTATGAGAGCCCTGTACAGAACAGCTTTGAAGCATGAAATGCTAAAGCTGCATTAGTGCACTGCTCCATGCGGGCCAATTAATTCAGTTTCTTTCTGTATGCTGTGGCTTCTCAAAGGTAATTATACTGGGGAAAAAAAGCCATTCAAATGCAGATACACCAATTTTCTTATTCAAGCTGACTCATCCAGAGCTGGCTTGGGTATCTCCACTCAACACTGTTGCACACCATTTTGATACAATTCTGTTTTCGGATAGCTAAGTGTAAAAGACAACTCCGTGGTGAACTATATCCCCTTATGCGAGGCTCTTTAAGCTTTAGTCTGCTGGATTAACCTGATCAATGGCTGAAAGTCAACGCTGGCAAAGTTCTAACTGTACACAAGACATACTTACAGTATTGATGACAAACACATACTGGAAGAGATCGCCAATGGATACAGTAAATTCCAGCACTTAGTAATCTTTAAAAATGCTTAAATTTCTTTTTAGAGTATCTATTTCTGTGTCTGAATTCTGCAGGTTCTTTTTGCATAACATACTTAAAACTTAGTCTTTTTCATCCATTGCCATGGCTGAAATTCTTTCCTAAGTTCTCATTACCACATCCTTGTTACATCCTTTTCTTGCTTTTGATGTATATAGTCTTTTCTCTGACAACCATTAGAATGTCATGGCTAAGATCACTTCCTATGCCTGCTGCTTTAACCGCTTCAGCCTGCTCTCTGCATTTCTTCACTGTAATCTGCCCTTGCGTTCAACTTCAGTATAGCTTACCCTAGACACTATGTCTCATTCATTACAATCATGCCCGCACCAAACACACTTGTTAGGCTAAGAACACTTGTGCTTTGCTTCTTGCCATGATATCCCTGGTACCTTGGAGAAGTCATAAATATCTGTAAAATTATACTAGTTCTTGGCTCCCCTTTACCACATTTCTGCAGAAACTATAAGGGAAACAGGAAGAAAGGAGTTGGCTGATAATGTGTTGTGAAAGCTACCTTTGAGATCAGCTATATCGTATCTCTGTGATATCTCCCTATGAAAGGTAACAGATGAAATCTCTGCAGGGCAATGCAAGCCATATTAGGGCCTCACCTATGACCTGTGTTCACAGACACTATGGTAACACACATAAATCATAGCAGTGTGTTCTACTTCAGGTGCAAACAGCTGCGGTAGAAGCCAGAAGCGTAGGATGAAATTACCTGGCCCCTGTTATTCAAGAAGCTGATTTGGAAGTCAGTTCTTTCCAACATTTGAATACAGAGTATTTTTCGACACTACACAGAGAAAGTAAGTGGATTATACCTCTGCACAACAAGGAATAAAGCAACTGGAATAGCACTACTTCTCTCTCCCCAGTCAGCTCACCATAGAAGAAAGCTCAGCTCTGTATAAGAAGGTTTGCTGACCTCGATGGAAGCTCCACAAGGAGGTTGTAGCTCACATCCAAAACTTCCAGTTTCTTTGCTTCAGAGGCCCAGTCTGGGACACACTGCAGTTGATTGCTGAGAAAAGCAAGGGGGAAAAGCTAGACACCAGCACTCCATGTGGAACATACCCTGTTTGAATGCTGCATGACATTAGCGACAGCTAAACCAAAAACAACAGGCAGAAAATGAACAACAGTATCCGAGCTAGTCATGTGGAATTTATCTCATGGCTAGCTGTGTAATGCAAACTGAGCTGGTGCGTGATTGGTAGAAAGTCCTGATGTAAGGCTCTGCTGATCAGGCTTTTTGTTTTCAGCACTGACATCAGCAGAATAGGTCACCCTAACGCTATCCTGCTATCGTGCTTCAACCCAGAATGGAAGCAGGTGGTGATCAGGTCCTCTGGGCATCCTATCTTACAGGTCTCACAATGCTGCTCCAAGGGCAGACGTAGGCAACGAAGCCAACAGCAGAGATCACTGGCAGCTACTCTAAATGTTTGGTCCACAGATTCCCACCATTCAGCCCAGTCAGCTACTACACAAGTTCAGTGGTGCCTGTTTGGCCTTTTTTGCTGGTTACAGCCTACAGCTGAAGGGCAGCCAGTCACCTAGACAGGTCATACTGGTTCAGGGAGGCTTCTGGTCTGGGAAACTTTCATCATTCTTCAGTGCTGGGCTTTCCAGTTCTATTGTGAAGATGGAGTGCCTTCCCTCAACTGCTCTCAACTCTTTCAAAAGCTTAAAAGCTCCAGAAAAATTCTGCAGAAAACAGCAAAGGTGTCCAGATACTTGCTTTATGTTCTGTGATGTATAGTCACTTACTGAGAGAGTTCTAAACATGTCAGTTGACCAGGAACCGGATAAATATTGACAGCTGTCAGACCTGATGAAGTAAAGCAAATAATTATGATTGCAGAACTTCAGAAGGAAAACAGCACAGAGAAGCAGACTAGCTAGCAAGTGAGACTTACAGATACTCAAGGTCTCTACTCATCCTTCACAAGACAGAGTTCACACTTCATACATCTGCCATATGGCACTACAGCTTCTCACTATCCCGTTCTCCATCTGCCATGTGGGGCACCAGAACAAGGGAGAACTGTACTTTTATTTGTGGACTCCCAAACATATCTCACTGGAAGATGAATTCCTTGGACAGTAACTCAACACCACAACCTCCCCCTGTTACACAGCCTGCGCACACACATGCCTATGTGATCCCTAGGAGCTGACCCCAGAAGACCCATCACATATGGTCTCACTACTGTAACGTCAGAGTAAGTATTTTTTTTGTGTGGGTGAGGGCAAAGGGCTGTTTTCCTTTGTTCCCAGGGCTTGAACGAAGAAGGCAGGTGAAGAAGGCAAAGAGACGTACAGTTGCTGTTGGCATAGAGGGCCCGAAGGGAGAAGCCACTCAGAGTCAACTCTTTCAGCTTGTTCCGCTCGCAGTGCAGCTGCTCCAGGTTGCCCAAGGAGCTCAGATCCAGATCTGTCATCTGATTGTCTCGTAAATCCATGTAAGTCACAGATTTGTTCCCCTCCAGAGTGTCAGCTGCTGCTCTCTTCAGGTTGTTCAGCCTAAACACTCAGAGATAAGAGTTACAAAATCAGAAAATAGGACACTGAACACTGGACATCAATAAGAAAAGAGAAGAAAGAAGAGGAAAGGAAGAGTTCTGGTGAAGGCTAATGCCAAAGGTGAGCACAGTGAAATGCGTGAGGAGCAATGGTGGATTTCAGGCAGTGAATACAAAGAAAAACATTTCCTCTCCCTACACTACTACGTGAAACCATCTTACTCATTCCACAATGTTTAAGAGATTCTGAAGACCAGTCTAGAAATCAGAAGCCAGGCCAAGGGACAGCTACTTTGCACTCACACAGGAAGCTAAAGCAGAGACTAGACATGAGACTGCCTTGCCACTAACAAAAAGATCTTTGTCCCTTTCTGAGAGGTCTGCAGTTGGCAGCCTGAAGAATCAGGATCACATCTGGTGGGGGGGGGAGGCAAAAAATGGTAGGAGAGATCAAAGAGCTACCGAAGCTCATGGTAACAGCATATCAAAAGAGGAAAATAGAGGACTGAGTCACATTCAATGGCTTTAGGCATTGCTCAGTTAACCTTGTTTCTCTACGTGATTCTGCACACCCTCAGAAACAGAACTCCCTAAAAGCTAAAGAATCAGAGAAAAAAATTACACCTAGTTTACTGCAAAATGTACTAGAAATTATGCAGCTCCTCTGCTGTAAATGGAAAGTAGCAATCCGGTTTATATACATATGCAAGATTCCCCCCCTTACCTCAGGCATTGCTCAGTTAACCTTGTTTCTCTACGTGATTCTGCACACCCTCAGAAACAGAACTCCCTAAAAGCTAAAGAATCAGAGAAAAAAATTACACCTAGTTTACTGCAAAATGTACTAGAAATTATGCAGCTCCTCTGCTGTAAATGGAAAGTAGCAATCCGGTTTATATACATATGCAAGATTCCCCCCCTTACCTCAGGTCCACGCTTTTGATTTTTTTTTAGGTCCAGGGTCTCTAGCAAGTTCCCTGCCAGGGCTAGTTTCTCTAAGATGACGAGTTTCTCACAAATTGCTGGCAGTTCACAGAAGTTATTGAAGGAAAGCCCAAGACAGCTGAGCTGTTGCAGACTTCCCAGTTCTTCTGGTAAGGACGTGAGGAAATTCCCATCAAGCCAGAAGGTCTGGAGACTACAGCAGCGAAAAAGAGAAAGAAAATAATTCAGCGAAGAGCAGCGAACATCACATTTGGCATTTTCAGTGATTTTCCTCATATAGCTAGCTGGTCTCAGTGTGGTTATTTTTTAAAGGTACCTAACAGCTAATTTTATTCTTATACACATAAAATTACTGGAGTACTTTTATTACGCACGTAATAGGCTTGGAACTGCATGTATGCAATACCAAATAGTTCCTAAATTATTTCAGAGGTAAACTTCCAGTTGTGCCAAAGATTGTAAGTTAACATAAGCAAAATAAAAACCAGCACTTACGTTGTACATGAAAGATACTTACTTAATCATTTGGTTTTCTACAAATTAAGAACTCCTCACTTAGCATGACGGACAATCCTTAAAAGACCTATGACAAACTAAACCCAAAAATGACAGCAGTAACAGTACAGTCCTGTCTCATAAGAAATAATAAAAATCAACTGCACTTTCATCATCCAATCGCTGGAATCTCATATCGCTATTATGGCACTTATTTACATCTATGGCACTTATGGCACAGTTTAATCATAATTCCTACCACACTAACGCACTGGTAACAGATTTTTACATTCTAGTTGTCCTTTCGGACACTCAGAAAAGAATAGGGTAGCTTTCTGTTGCAAGATGAATTGTTTTAAAGTTTGCGTGGCTTTTGAGACTCAAAAATACCATTCCCTCATTATGATTATGTTCCAACAAAGAACTTTCTGAACAGTGTTTAGCGGTGGTAGAAATGCAATCTGGGGCCATAAAAAGTTCTTATGAATAAGGGCTCAAGGGGTCATGAAGATGACTGGACCCATAACTAAGTTGTAAATCCCTGAAAACTGTAAGCCTGCATACAGCTTCTTCCTTACAGTTTGCATATGGCTAAAAGTTGCTCTGGAAATGACTTGCTTACATCCAATGTAGCTGCCGATACTCCTTTTTTAAAGATATAAGCTGGAGGAAGAGCAGGACACAATGAACCAATAGCTCAATACCAATGTTTATCTAAACAAATGCAATAATAGTCTTGCAATTAAATTCACCTAAGCTTAAGCTTTTATGCATTCTGGGTAGCTACTGGGGAAAATGGAGAAGGTTTTTATTCCAGCAAATACCATAAGACAAAATTTTCAGAGGGGATTGCCCAAGTATTTCCATGTTAAAATCCCCTAGCACAAAAAGCAACCAATTCTGTAGAAAGCTATCAAAACATATTAGTGCTGACAAAAATCACTAGACCTCTGTGAGAAGTTACCACAGAAAAGTTTTATACAGTAAATTAAAACTTTAATAGAAACTGCATCAGTATTGAAAATATTAAATACAAATAATAAACAGAAATTCAGAAAGTCACACACCTCTGCAGCTGCAGAAAAATGTGCATTAACTTATTTGAGAAACAATACAATTGTCTTTAGACAATGCTTCATCTTTATCACGTTTCCTCATCTTTTCTACATCAGCAGCTGTAATGTTTTAATAGTAGTGATTAAGGAATTGCACTTGAGACTGTCTTTGGTCCTATAACGTACTCTTATACTTTAAACTTGCATACAGTTAAGAAATCTGCAATCCCTTTTGTGTAAGACATTTATGAATACTGCAGCAATATAACCAGCATGCTCTTGCTTGCATAAATAAGGTCTACAGGCTAGGCCTCAGAATTTGAGAGGCATGTATATTTTTCCCTAGTTCCACAAAGCCTAGCTGATCTCCATAGATGTTTCACTGTACTAATCTGCAGCTTCTGGAAATGTCCCTGACAGCATGATCTTTAGAAACTCTTAACTGTTTTTACGTAAACATAACAGTATCTATGTTTAGCCGATAAGGCACCACCGTAATAGTAGTTTAAAAAAAATTTAGGAAGGAAGTAACAAGAAAGCAGGCAAAGGAATGCAAGATGGCAGCAGATGCGAAGAGAACAAGGTGTATTCAAATTTACATACAAATTGGACATAAACCCACAAGAAATCATGCAAGTCACCCCAAAGCAAAAACAAAACGAAAAAACCCAGAAAACAACCCCCCAAAACACACACCCCACAGAGAACATAAAAAGCTTCAAGTTTACTAAACTTTAAGAGAGTATATTCATATGCTTAGAAGCCTTCACGTTTACTCTAGTTCAGCAAGGTGGCGCCTGTGATTCAAGGCATCATAACTGACTAAGTGTCTTCCTAGGCCACTCCAAAATAGGCAAAATCCATTCATCTCCTCTATTAGAAAACTGATTGACACTAATATATTTTACATAGCTAGTAGAATAGTCACAAATGATGAATGATAACTTGCTACGTACCAGTGACTTAAAACGGCAACTGTATAAACATACTGTGATATCTTCATTTTCTAGGAAAAACAAACCTTATTGGACATCTTGGTTCTCGACCTTTTGCTGGAGTCAAATCCATCATTCAATCTTCATAGGCAGAACAGGCTACCCCAGCACTCGTACTTGCATAAGTAGTACCTTCACATCAGCTGGGCTCAACTGAAGCACCAAGGATGTTTATGACCACAGATGAAAAGAATATACTCACTTCAACAGTTTGCCAATCTGGCTTGGCAAGTAATGAAGGCCATTACAGGAAATATTAAGCTCTGTCAGAGTAGAGATCTCGCACAGTGATACAGGAAACTCTCCCAGTCTGTTATGAGACAGGTTCAGGCTCTTCAACTGAGAAAACCTACTGGCAAGAATACTAGTTAATTCACAAACTTCCATGGTCTCAAAGCAAAAACATACAAAACCAGTCATAAAGAATTTTTAAATCTTGATGGCAATACAGTCAGCTAACTCATTATGGGAGTTTCTGCACAAATTTGGTTTTAAGTCACTGGTATTTTGTATCTCTGTGATAATGCTGAAAGTGATCAAATACCACAGTTTTACTGAGAAACTGGTAACAACCTTCTACCCTGATTCCTGACAGGCTTCCTCCTAGTGACTGTTACTAAGATTAAGGAGACTAAAAACACTCAGTTCAAAAAATTTACCTTCAAAGAATTATTTAGAGTAACAGTCTACAATTACGCAGCTTGGGAAAACAGGAGCTGAAAACATTAACCGGAACTATTCTGAGAATAAAACAGAAGAGAGGAATACTCTTTTCAAGCTAGGCACAACAGGAGGCCTAGCAGAGCTGTAAAAGGGAAAACCAGGAAAGTGCTGACTTCACGCTGGGAAGCCCCAAGACCTGCACCCAGAGGTCCCTTAAGAGATTCCATGCCTCAAGTGCCACCTGCTTGGCAGACTGTACCATAGGTACAGCCACGCAAGTACTGACACAGCCCTCACAGTCACTACGGTCCCACCTGTGCTTAACAGATAGTTGCCTATTTCAGCTCCTTCTATCATTGCGCTAGGTCCAAATAGAGAGAAGAAATTGAGCATGGGCCGGGGTAATATGCAAGAGGTTCTTCTCAAAGAGTTCCTACCTCTTTCTACAGGAAACAGAAGTATTTTTTGCCAAGTAATAACCTCCCCATCCCAAACTGGAACCATCAGAAATTCATTCAGTGGGGAAATTAATATCATACTTTTATGAGACAATTGTGAATCTAATGTAATGTACCAGAAAAGTACTTCTTGGAAACATATAGTTCATTCATCTGCTCCACCTACCATACGTTTTGCTAAGCAATAGTAAGTAGCTCTTATTTTGAAGCAAATGTTTTAATATAGGTAACAAAATCAAGGTTAATTAGCTTGAGGGAGAATATTACTGCTAGCTTGAGATGTCTTGAAGGCTGAAAGGTTTTGAAATTTTTTCTTCTTTATCGCGACTCCTTTTTCAGATTCAGAACACTTCAAATGATCTGTGTAGGAACTATGCATTATATCTCTCCATTTTGCTTTACAATCTGGGGGGTGGTGTTGGTGTTTTTTTTTTTTAAAGAGGGAGCATATCTGAAACTTGGACATGAGTTGTTTGCTTTAAGAAAGCACCCTGTCGTATAAGTAAGGGCATATGCATTTTATGTTTGCTGCAGCCACGAACACACTCTCTTGTAATGCAACTGAAAGCCAAAGAGAAAGATGCTGTACTGATAATAGCCTTCCTAAAGGGAACGTATTCTATGATGCAAAGATCTAATAATGATACAAAAATCAGAAACTTGCACACAGAACTTCACAACAATAACGGAAAAGAAGGAAACAATGAGGATAAACCTACAGATTGGAACTTTCTCATTAGTGGTTCAACTTTAAGAGATTTAGGACAGATTACAGTTCTCAGGTTTTGGAATCAGAAAACGCTTTAATGAAGCTGCTTTCTCTGGAGTTCTACAATGGCTTTTTCTATGGCACCTGTCCTTAACACCAAGCAGCTCTTTCTCTGTCATTAGCAGAGTGTGGTGAGAAGCTGCCCCAAGAGGCATGGCATTAAATGCAACAGCATAACCAATTTTTAGAATTCATCTCTCTGCAACAATATCAAAGTAAACACAAAAGGGGCATAAAAGTTTCCAAAAGCTGGAGGGAAACTGGTACATGACACAGCTTTGTCTAAGACTCCTCGAGCAGACTGTCATATGCAATGCAGAAGACAATACTTAAAAGCCTTTTGAGTTCCCCTTCTGCTCCTTCTCCATTGCCCCAATGTTCTCAAGCAGTAGGGATGTAGGAATGGAATGCAAACCCAACTCTCATTCAAGTTGTATACATGAACCATGTACTATAGGGAATAAGGATCCTGAAATCGTTACGGCTCCTCAAGTTTTGGTGTGTGCTCTCACAGGGCATATTGAGATTACAGCAAAGAGGTATGGAAACACAGCAACAAATCCTCAGTGGGATGACCATCCTCTGTTCAGCAGCCCAAACTGGTGCTGGCCTGAAATATTACCAGTTCAGTGCAACATCCTGCTCTGCTGCCAAAAGCATCCCAGTACAAGTCTGTATCAACTAGCTAGAATGGTGACAATAGACATGCACATGCATACGCATGCGTGCACACACACACGCACTTATCAACGAAGATCAGACTTGATAATGTTTTCCAGAAAAGGGAGATATTTGAAAGGCAGTACGTTACGTAAAAAAATAAGCTAGGAGACATAACAAAACAGGTGGGGTTATTTAATATCCTTTGCTTAACATTTCTTTTTTAGTTAATTATTTTTGTTCCATTATTATAGTTATAGCTAATTAGACTCCTAGAGCTTCAAAGATTTCCTCCGAAGAAGAGAGCTGATCATTGCAAAAAATTCCGCTGTTCAGAATTGTCAATCTCTAGGCACTGATAACACCTACTGCGAGTGAGCAAGTTTCTTCATTTGGGGCTGTGACCTGATAAACATCCTAAAAACCTCAGAAAGAAAATCTTTTCAAAAGGCAATGAGCAGCGTTATGTGGGCCACCTAATGCTACCTGTTTATTCAAGATTGTGTGAAGTGAGGGCTTCTTTTATGGCTTTTGTTTGTTTGAGGATTTCAGCTTCATCAGACATAGTCACTGCCAGGAAAAGAGCCGAGTTTCTGATATGTCAGACCTCTTGTTGACTACATGCAAGGTCAAATATTTTATACCCCAAAATGTTCTCTGTTTAGCAAGCAGCCTTATATTATTATTGCATCTTGTCCATACAAATGGCATATCGCTCCACAAGGCTCATTTCAGATCAAACTTAGCACAAAGAATCTGTGGAAGGGAGTTAATGAATACGGTAAATTGCTGGAAGCTTATGCCTGCCTGCGCTGCTCAGTTCTGCTTCCTAGCCCCTTTATTTGTTAGAGCTTCCTGAAGATCAATCTTTTTACCATCCCACAAGAATGGGCAATGCACTCCCCCTCCTCTCCATCCCTGGATGCACATGTCAAGAACTCCAAATGTAGAAGAAAAATAATTCTTTAGAGACCTGCAAAGAGAGTCAAGGCTCCCTGCTCCACTTGATCTCATAAAATTGTGTCGTAGGTTGAGGTAGATGATGTCTTGACTGTAGAAGAGGTGCTCAGGTACTTCCTCAAGGCTGTAGCATGAAAGATCAACCATGCTAAGTCGCATAGACACAACCTGAAAAGAAGGAGGAAGAGCTGCAGCCGTGCAACAATTTTTCTCTGGAAGTCTAATGGAAGGCCAAAGAATGCAAGTAGTAAACAATCTGCAAGAACATGAAAGAACCCCCTTTTACCCACCAGGTAGAGTCCATGCAGGAAACTGAGTCCACAGAGTATGAGTTTATGCCATTTGCTACTATTGTTTCTGCAAGCCCCCTGACAAGGCTGCATATCTGGATACCAACTAGGACACACAGAAAGCCCTGCTCTGTATGTGCTATGGGCACTGCCTAAAAGCTAGACCGGAAGAGAGCCAACCTAATGAAGAAAACCATATCTTTGGCTGAGGAAACTGCTGAGAAAGCATAATCTCTTAGTGCCTTCCAAAGATGCAAGCAGCAACAGGAAGCAGTTGACTTTCCAGTTCACACCTTTAAGGTTTACAGAACCTCTGCTTGGCCTAGCTACTTCTTCCAACTTTCTTTCTTTTGTTAGCTTGTTCAGGGTATAATATTGGAAACATAACCTGTTATAATGAAAAGGCTTCATAAATTATGGTTTTGCAACATTTCATAAAGTCTTTGGCAAATATCAATCTCCTTTCACTAAGTATGCTTTGTTTCGAGGTCTTCAGTGCTTCATTCCAGATTTTATGACCTGCTTTATTCTGAACTCACTTCATATTTCATAACATTATACATATATGAGGTCAAAGTGTGGCTCAGCATTAAGCTATCGCCATCTAATTGTACTTTAATGTGGAATAAGGAGGCAGCTCTGAACTAACTCTACTTTCCTTGCTGACCTATGATCTCTGTGTTAACTCAAACTTATCAGGGTAGCCCCATGCCAGTCCAGGACACAGTTTAGGCAGATCCAAGTATGGCAACAACAGGTGCAATTTATAGGTTTCTATGGCTGTAAAGTCAGCCAGTCCCTGGGGTTTGTTCTAGTGACCTGTGATTAGCTACTTCCAGTAGGCGCAGTGGAGGTGAAAAAATGCAGAACTACTACTCAACATTGTTGCACAGGCAGGGAGAGAAGAGAAGGCTAAAAGAAAACCTCTGTAGTCCAGAGCATGTAAGAAATGAAGAAAGCTGGAAAGTGTCTGGATACTTTCTCCAGCATCATAGCTTCATACCAAGCCTGCATCACAAAACCCTTCTTACCGCTGTACCCACCACCCGTCTCCAGAGCCTCACCGTGGACGCCTGTCGGTGCCACCGTTGGCACTCTGCCAGCGTTTCAAAGGAAACATGGTATGTCTGAGCTTGTGCTCCAGCAGATGTGAAAGCAAGTGTGTACTGCCGACGTTTCATCTCTTCCACCTGCAAAGGGAGAATTGAAAACAAAACAGTCTGCCTAAACTCCAGTAATTACAATGGATCTGAAGTCTAGGGTGACATATTAACTACTATCAGTAACATTACGTTTTGCTGACAACACAGTTGTAAAGTTATGGGACAGAACACAGAAGTAAATCATAGAATAGTTTGGGTTGGAAGGGACCTTTAAAGGTCATCTAGTCCAACCCCCCTGCCGTGGGCAGGGACATCTTCAACTAGATCAGGTTGCTCAGAGCCCCGTCCAACCTGACCTTGAATATTCCCAGGGATGGGGCATCTACCGCCTCTCTGGGAAACCTGTGCCAGTGTTTCACCACCCTCATTGTAAAAAATTTCTTCCTTATATCTAGTCTAAATCTACCCTCTTTTAGTTTAAAACCATTACCCCTTGTCCTGTCACAACAGGCCCTGCTAAAAAGTCTGTCCCCATCTTTTTTATAAGTCCCCTTTAAGTATTGCAAGGTGAAATCCTTCTTAACATCTTTCTGCAGAAGTAGATTCAAGAAGTAATACTTTCCAGAATGCCCATTCACAACATGGGCGACTAACGTGAAAGCAGAAAGCAGTGTCTCTTCGTTTTATTAGCCTTAAGACTACTACTTAAGGAAAGCAAGCAGAAAGGGGTTGTACAACTCTTTTTACATGTTAACGTACAAAAGCCTAGATCAACCTCTTGTGGATAATACCCATCATTATAACCCCTTCTTCCTTTCTAAGCCACAGGAAGCTAACCAAATAAAGTCTTACCTTCCCTCCAACGAGAGGCAAGATGTGCATCTTTCCTGTGTGGCTATCTTTCACAGAGGACACAATGAGGCACGTACCACAGAGAATTACCAAGCGCTCTGCCCATTTGTGCAACTGGGTCTTTCCTTTGCGTACGTTATAGACTCCAGAGAGCAGGATGCGATCTAACTGTTCCACTTGACATGGCTTTTCTGAAGAAAAAGGGGACATTAGCATTTACTTTCCATTTGTTCTTCATTCTCTGCTGTGAGTACAAATAACAACACAGCTGAAACATGCAAAATCTGTTATTGTAAAAAACAAGTAAAGACAAGACAAGTTGCACTTTAAAAAAAATCTCAAGCAGAGGACAAGCAGCTTCCTCAGTCGGTGCAGTAATGTCTGATAAGCAACCACTGTATGCCTTTCAGTACAATGTTTTAAGGTTGCCATGTAGCATGTTTTTAATCTACAGGTAATTACAGACCCTAGCAAACTTATACACTTGCCAAACATCCTTCATTCAGATACAATAGAAAAACAATTTCAAACTCTCGTTGAGTCAGCTCAAGTCACAGAAACCATCAAATAAGTGGCTTCTACTGGGCTTTAAAGGAAGGCCTGGAAAACCAGCTACAGCAGAAAGTTATTTCCCTGAAGATGATTCAAGTGAAAGGACTCGAGCACTGACTGTTATAGCTGTGCTGTGTGCTCTGCTAGCTATGACTCTAACCAGCAAAGTAGAATTCTACTTCAGCCTTCTAATGCACATACACTTACTTTTAGGTCATTCTACCTCCTTGTCCCTTTTATTTTTTTTTTTTTTCAAGATAATGACAAATCTCTCAGATGCTTTTCAAGATTCTGTCCACTGTTTATACTATCTTACTGGCTAGGAAAATTTTCCAGAGAGTCACTTAATTGAATACTTTAAACAACAGGAATAAGCCTGACCTGATGGACTTACAAGTTTCAAGTGTTAAGAATCTCCTCATATTAAATTTATATTTCATTTTATCCTAAATAATCCCCAAGACAGATCCTGGCCATGGGTCCTTTGTTTTACTTAGGAAAAGATCCATTTATTTTGAAGTTGCTACTGACATGCTGCTTCTGTCTCGAACTGTCCTGCAAGTGTCCTGATACCCATAAGCAACATGAACCTGCAGGTATTTATATTCCCTCACCCCCGAAGTCAGACAGAGGAACTGAGTAGGCAACATATACGCCAAACAATGACAAAAACTCTAATTAGATCCGCTGGAAAAATATTCTCACTATCGGTTATGCATGCCCCACTTCCAGACACAAACCATACTCCAAACTTATTAGGAGCAAAAAGTTAACCACTGACTAAAGTTGTTATACTGTTTCTCAGTTAGAAAGCAGGGTCTTCAGCTTGCCAAATTTAAAGCACTGTCTTGATGGCTATACCAGGCTGAATTTAGCTGAAATATTTAGCTGTTTATTTACAACAGTAGCTTTGTTTCAGGGACATGAAGTTTGGCATAAGATGTCCTTTAATGGTGAGAAACTCTAATCATCCACTGAAAAAATTGCTTGGATTTCACCAAGCTGAAAGACCAGTCCCAGACTTGTAAGGAAACAGTATTATGGGACCAAAAGTGGTATCCTACTGACTGCCACAGCAGCACTGTTCCAAGCACCAGATATTACTAAGAAGCTATACCAATCCTCCAGTTTCCCTATCCTCTCCAAAACATCTGTGACACCTATGTCCTAGTGCTAAGGAAACATCCAGGGGCAACGTTCAAGGACTTCTACTCTGAATCCCAGCTATTTCACAACTCCTCAAGCTATGTGTAAGAATGGTCTTAATCTCTAGGGATAGGCAAGTTTCTGTTACTCTTTGCAGCTCCTGAGCTTGGCCTTGAATGTCATGCTTAACTCCATGCTCCAATTAGCGAGCACAGGCTTTCCCATGGAGAGCAAGGATACAGGTCAACAACAGACAGAGCTAGCACCTCTAACAGCACTTTACAAGTTACACAAGTCCAGCTATAGCAATACAAGGAATCAAGACAATTCCCCACCAGAGAAAGTGTGTGATCCTCTACAATTCACACTTGTCACACCTGACATAAATGAACAGTTAGATGGCCCTGGAGCACTGCTTCCATTTGATCTGTTGTTGCAGCATGTAAAGACCCTGTAACATTTGGTCTCTGAGCTTGCCCCATCCAGCCTGGGTCACTGGCCTCCATTCTCCAAGTGAATTCTAACAAGAGGAAGCCCTCCCCCCATTCTCCCAGCCAATCTAACACATTCTCTCCCCTCAAACTCTTGGGCTCCTACAAGTATCTCAACAGCGAGACTTCAGGAAGCATGCTTCCCTCTCACTGCTGTTTAATGTGAGATTTCTATTAATTCACTTGTATTCCCATCACCCCAACTGGGCATAAGTACTCACCATGCACCAGGGAAAGAAACAAACCCAATGTATCACATGAGCAAGGCAGACAGAAATGTGGGAAGAGAGCAGATAAATCCAAGAGACATCCCCAAGGAGTGAAAGAAATACGAAGGCTGCTCTCAGCACACTCCAGAGGTCTGCTGCTCTCAGCAGGTCCAGAGGAGGGCCATGGAATGGTCAGGTGGCTGGAGCGCCTCTCCTACGAAGAAAGGCTGGGAGAGTTGGGGCTGTTCAGCCTGGAGAAGAGAAGGCTCTGGGGAGACCTTGTAGCAGCCTTCCAGTGCCTGAAGAGGGCCTACAATACAGCTGGAGGGGGACTTTTTACAAGGGCATGTGGTGATAGGACAAGGGGTAATGGCTTTAAACTGGAAGAGGGTAGATGTACATAGGACATAAGGAAGAAATGTTTTACGATGAGGGTGGTACGGCACTGGAACAGGTTGCCCAGAGAAGTTGTGGATGCCCCATCCCTGGAAGTGTTCAAGGCCAGGCTGGTAAGGGCTTTGAGCAACCTGGTCTAGTGCAAGATGTCCCTGCGCACAGCCTGGGGGTTGGACTAGATGATCTTTAAAGGTCCATTCCAACCCAAACCATTCTGTGACTCTATGATTCTAAGTAATGTTTCTCTGGCTAAAATGCATGACTTCGTCCCTTATGTTCTCAGCTGCAGGCTTTGCAAAATTATCACCTAATCCTCCATAGCATTCCCTCTAATTCCTCCCCTACCTTTAAGAACCAGTTTGTCAGCATTTGCTTTTACTTTCTTAAAACAGGTCTCCTGAACACTCTTCAATCCTCATACTTCTTCCTTCATAGCCTCTTTCTAAGCAGGAGTACCCTCCCATGCTGACTGAAACTATTCAATTCCATTTTCTACCTACTTGCTTTCATGGAGTTGAGTCGCTGTTCCTGAATCTTCAGCAATTCCTGCTTGACATACCCAAACTGAACCGCTCATTTTTTCCTCAAAAGTTCTCTACAGCCCTATGCTTGATGCCTCTCCTCCTTCCAGCTGAAGTAACTTCTGACTCCCTACTCCTTGCCCTATAAATCCGGACTATACGCATGTCATACTTCTTTCCATCTCCATTGTACTTCTACACTGGTTTGCCTGTTCTGCACACAGCTCCCAGACAGAAGGGGTTTGTCTCAGGTAAAGGCGTGGAGAAGCTGAATTCTTATGATTCTATTTTTTGACACTGAATAAACAAATGATGGCTAGCAGCTTAGTCAGGCTACCCAGCTCCACTATGGAAGAACAATTTTCCATTAAAAGCACTTTGATTTTTTTCTGAAGTGCAAAAGATACACAGGTGAAATATTTAAAAGTACTGAAATAATTTCATTATCAGCTTTCCTTCGCCTTATTTCTTTTATATTTCCTCTTCACTTCAGTGAATTCCTTTTCTGGCTGCTAACACTATACGCCAATGGCCCTATGACTATCATCCTGTTGCTCCTTATGCACATGGTATCCTGCCCAAACTGATGCAATAGGCCACTCAGAAGTCTTGCTTCTGCGATGACATGCACTGGGTTTCTAACGGCAGCCTGCATTATTATTAACCAGCTGGTACTTTCACTCTCTATTTACAGGCTGTGGAGGTATTTGACCAGGACCTTCCTTGCCCATGTCCATACACCTTTTGGAAATACAATCTTGAGGCATATCTAGACGGAACTGCAATATGTTTCTGATCCCATTAGGAGCTCTAAGGCATTTGTTGTAACACTGGAAACTAAAGACAACAGAGCAATCTTGTGTCTTCCTGTGGGGCTGTCTTTTCTCACGCCATAGATAGGATCAAGAGAACTACAGAACTGTGTTCTTTTCCATTAATCTTGAAAACTCATTGTTTTAAAAAATGCTTACTGGTACTTTGGGTGTTTGATGTAGCCATCTATAAACCCAGCAGGTCAAGGACCTGGGCTTCAGCTCAGTTCCAGCTCATAGTTAAAGCTACAGGAACAGCGACAGTGTGCACACACACAATTTCTTACCACTGTAAAAGCGAATCATACAGCTGAGATCAGAGTTTGCTGCCTCTTCCTGCATTCTGACAGGATCATCAAAACCCAACCCAGCCAAGTAGTCATACACAATCTGAAGGGGTTTTTCTGTGGGCTCCAGCCTCCTGTCAAAATATACAAGAAAGTAGTTTGAGAACGCAAAAAAGATTAAACAAGTCTTATTGCAGCTAAAGTGTAAGGAATACTGACATACTGGTTGTTCTGTTCCTCTGAAAAGGTCTGGCAAACACACATCCTTGGGGTCTGTGCTTCCTGCTTGTCAAGTAGCACTAAGAACTGTAAGATTGAAGAATTACATTGCAGAAGGGAAACTGAGAGGAAAAGCAATAGGCATAAGCCATACAATCCATGGTGATCATTTCCATTCCATGATTAAGGAGCACCAGAAGGAAACAATGACAAGAAACAAAACCAGAAATACTGCACAAAAAGCAGACACCAAATAATTTAAAAAAACTACGTATAATGACTGAAAGATACAAAAGAACTCTACTTAAATTTCTCTTCCAAATGCAGCTGGGAGCAAAGCATATGAGAATCCTCCTGAAGAATGACTTCTAAAAAGAAAGAGAAAAGAAATTTCCCATTCTCTTTAGCTCTCATCAGTGCAAGATTCTCATGCTTTGGCAAATTAACTCAAACGGTACATTTAAAGAAAAGACGTTTTTAGAACTACAGCAATTCATAGGAAGGATTCAGTGGCTAACTTGAATAAAGGGCAGTAAGAGAAAGTTCTCCTGAAACATGAGGTTTAGTATATTCAGAACAGAAAAGATGTTTTCTGATCCTCTCATCTCACTTCTTCCAGAGACGCTGAATTGTTATTTTCTGCAATAAAAATGACAGAACTTCTTGCTAAATTAGAAGTTTTACTTTAAGGAAAAAAAATCCTAGTGTAAAAGATTAAGCACTGAAAATGTAAGATGGGAGTTAAAATAAATTGTTCCAGTGGTCCACCATTAAAAATCCTCACTTTTAATCTAGAAGTGCCTACCTTCAGATCACGGTCACTGGACCTCAACTTGAGATCTATTCTTTAAACAGGTGCTTATAAATCATGAGACTAACCATTTCAAACTTCCTTTTCAAGATCAGGCTCAAAGTGCTTTTAAAATTTTCTTGCAGTAGGGTGGGTCTACTTCGACTCAAAATAATTTTTACCACTCATTTTTTTTTTTTAGCTTACCAACTTTCTGTAAGCACTAGCACCACGACTGTTCGCTGTATCCATGCACTGACTACACAAAACCGTACCAAGGCTTCTTGGTTCTACTCAACAGTATTCGTATTCCTAGATCAAACCTGCTCTTGACTATTTGGCACATTCACTCCTATCCCTTCAATCCACGAGTCTCCTGAATTGCAGTTTTTGCAAGTTATAGCCTCCTTCCTCTCCTCTTCAGTATTTAGTACACTTGGCTTTTACATAAATATATCCAGCAATATTGAAAAGCAGTGTTTTCCAGAGAACACTGTATGCTAAACCGTCTAGATCAACCTGTTGCACTGACTTCTCGGTATTCATCACTCCCTCCAGCTATGCCGTCCTGAGTTGTTACCTTTCTTTAGATTATTAACAGAGCAACTGAACAGTGCAAGTTTACCTTTCTTCATTCAGGCATACACTAACCCCTCATCCAAAAAAAAATGCTTACACTGAATAACAGTTTCCAATTTGTACGGTATCAGCCAATGAGTTTTATTGGTTTGCGCATTTCTTTTCTACCAATGACATCAAAACATAGAATCACAGAATGGTTTGGGTTGGAAGGGACCTTTAAAGGCCATCTAGTCCAACTCTCTTGCAATAAGCAGGGACATCTTCAACTAGATCAGGTTGTTCAGAGCCCCGTCCAACATCACACACTGCAACAAATGACTAACGCCGTTGGCGACCAAGCTTGAAATTTCAAAGCATCAAGATCAAGTTTGTTCGGTAAGACCTGTTTTCTACCAAACTGTTGACTTGCATCATATCATTTATACTGCATGTCTTAACGTGAAATATTTTATTACCGTAGGTACCAAACCTTTCCGCTTCTTCTCAACTGAAGAACAAAAATACTTCTGATTCTTTTTAATGATTATACTATAGTATTTCCACTATTACTGACAGCTTTACAAATACCATCTCATAATTAAGGCAGGACTGATTTCATAGAACATGCACCATCTACAAGTATCTAGTCATCCAGACTTCCTTTGTAGTCAACAGGACACACTTCAAGAAGTAAAATTACCTCAGGTATTTCAAGCACATACACTGCAACTCTATCACTTCACACATAGGACCTCTGGATCAGAAACAGGATTACTGGCAAAGTTATGGTCCAAACCAACGAAGTTTCTAGCCTGAAAAGACAATGTAGCTGATACACAGCTGATCCAGAAAACCAGTTCTTACCGCTCAATGTTTGCTAAGCCTGATTAGGGCAACTTTGCTCCCCTGCCTTTTTGTTTTACATGGAAATACATCAACTTGCTAGCCAGAAGGCTGTATATAAAATAACCCCCTTCCTCTCACTTCAAAAATTGTCTCTTGGAGCTTCTACTGACTAATAAACTGATGTCAGGCCTTGCAGACTCTAGTCAGCCCTAAATATAATCAGAAAGTTATTAGCAAATTTCAACCCATAAATAGGCTTTATTTAACAGATAAAGGAGGAAAACCTTGATCTGTATCTTCAAATCCACCCAAAAGGACTACTCCCTGATAGAGCTGGTTTGCTTGGAAATCTCTTCTTATTCCTTCCTTGATTGGACCAGTACAATTTAAATTTTAGTTTATGAAATATCAGCTGCCTTAACCGGTAGTAAACATTGTTTATTCATACCAATGTCTGTCACTGGTCATAATTTTAATTTATTTTTAGGAGTTATCCTAATTTTATGAAGCTTCCAATGTGATTAAAAGCAATGTCAGAGATAGCAATTTGATATGTACTGTAAGTATATTCAAAACTCATACATGAGAATAATATTCATCCATCAATTTAAAGTTCAAGACGTAATCAGGTGACTGTCAGCAATGCATTCCATTGCTGCTGCTACTGCTGGTTTCTTGTGGTTTTTTGTGGTGGTGCTTTTTTTAAATAGAAAAAACATTTGGAAAACTGCCTTTTCTTTCTGCCCTTTCTTTAAACCAATAAAGGAAATGAAATAAAGAGCTAGCCAGTGTAGTTTAATGCAAATTCAGATAAATTTCAGCAGAAAGCACAATCCCACCCCCTCCCACCCTCCCCAGGCCTAACTATTCTCTTCTGGTATCCAAGTCAGATGCTACGACACACATGTATGACAAAGACACAGTTTCTGCTGCGTTCCCAATTATTTGTAATGCCTTTTTTGAAGAAAAAATTTTGTGAAAGCCAAATTCACTTGAGCTTTCCAAAACAAATTGAACAAGTGCTCAGAATCCACAGGAGTTTAAGGTATGTAATGCCAAATCACTGAGCTCAGATGATTACTGCTGTTCAACTTGCCAACAATTCAGTACAGATATTTCTATCCCCTTATGCTGACTAGAAAGTGAGTTTAATCTCCATGGCAAGCATGGCATTAAATCACAGAAAACAGTAATGCAAGTATTTAAGACTCTAAATACATACTTTTTCCAAAGTCAGTCCATCCATTAGAACTAGTAAAATGGAAATCAGATTTCTGAGCTTTTTTTTTTTTTAAATCTTTTTTATCATTGACTCAATGTGGTTGGAACAAGCCCCTGGAGTGATCATGTAGTCCAATCCCCTGCTAAAGCAGGGCCACCTACAGCCGGTTGTCCAGGACCTCGTCCAGTTGGGTTTTCAGTATCTCAAAGGAGACTCCACACCTCTCTGGGCAACCTCTGCCAGTGCTCCGTCACCCTCACAGTGAAAAAGTATTTCCTGATGTTCAGAAGGAACCTCCTGTGTTTCACTTTGTGGCCATTGCCTCTGGTCCTGTGACTGGGCACCACTGAAAACAGCCTGGCTCCATCGCCTTCATCTTTTTCGATCAGGTATTTATACACATTGATAAGACTCCCCTGAGCCTTCTCCAGGCTGAACAGTCCCAGCTCTCTCAGATGAAAGATGCTCCAGTCCCTTAATCATCTTAGTGGTGTTTTGCTGGACTGGTTCCAGTGAGTCCTTGTCTCTCTTGTACTCCCAGAACTGGACGCAGCACTCCAGGCGTGGCCTCACCAGTGCCAGTAGAGGGGTAGGATCACCTCCCTGGGCCTGCTGGCAACACTCCTCCTAATGCAGCCCAGGTTACTGCTGGCCTTCTTTACCGCAAGGGCACATTGCTGGCTCACGGTCAGCTTGTTGCTCACCGGGATGCCCAGGTCCCTCTCCACAAAGCTGCTTTCCAGCTAGTCAGCCCCCAGTGTGTACTAATGCCTGGAGTTGTTCCTCCCCAGGTGCAGGGCTTGGCTTTTCACTTTGTTGAACTTCATGAGGTTCCCCTCTGCCTGTCCAGGTTTAGTTGTTCAGCTCTAATTGTGTCAAGTTTTAATCTCAAGACCACAGGGAAATTACCGGGTACCATTTCATGTGTCGTAGCAGCAGAATCCAAGTTTGACTCAGTATCACAAAAAGTGTAACTTGCCTCTGTAATTGGGATGACTTCACTTTTGATGATGCCATCCACTTTATATCTTCAATGAGATGAGAAGTCTTCTGAAATAATTTGGAGAGCCTATAAGCAAGGACCAGATCCCATGCTTTCCAAAATAAAATGGAAAATAGCTTCCAAAACAAACAAACAAAACCCCCAAAAAAGGAAAACAGCAGTCAAGAATGGAAATTCAAACAGTGCTGATCACCTGCACCACCACCAATCATTCTGACACTGCTCATCATCTTGGAACTCCTGGAAGAAGATCCTAGTCCAGTTAAGATAGAGCTCTTTGTACAATCAGCATGAAAAGCTGATTTATGAAACGCTTTTTTCTTTCCCTGCTTTGCGAAATGGACATGAGACAAGAGATTAGTTCAAAAGAGTGTAATGCCATCAATGCGTGTCTCTTTGCAGAGATTTCTTCAGTTCAAATGCAGGCTCTCAGTCTTTTTTAGGACCTCCTGTCAAGATCTAGAAGCTTAGAACCAAGCACTTCTATAAATATGTAACTAAGGTTTACATTATCATTTAATTTTTTTTTGCTACAGATAGCAGTGAACATGACACCAAACTTTCAAAAGAGCTTTCGGAGGTAATCTTGGAAATTACAAACCTGTGTATATGTCTCCTGTAACAGGCAAGCTACTAGAAACTGGAATAAATAATAGATTGCATTGAACAATGCTGACTTCCAACACAGTAAACCCTGATATATTCTATACCCTTCAGTGCAGAATCCAAGAAGAATATGAGAGATTTGACTGGATCTCCAAATACCTTGCCCAAGTTCCCCTTGACTACCCCTAGATTCCAATTCTTCTCCTATTAAAGCCTTATGCTTGCCAAAAAACAGCTTTTCCAGCATGTGACACAGGGCTCAGGAACCATAAATGCTCGAATGTCACTCACAAAAAGCATACTTCAAGTAGTCTGCATCTAGATTTCCTAGGGAAAAAAAAACCACTCAAACATTATAATTTGGTTGCTGAATGGACTGAGACTTTTGCAAGTACGCACTGAACAATACACTTGCGCATCAGAATTCAGGAAGAACCTTAATACAGTAAAGGGATAAGTGCTTTTCATATGACACAAATTATATCACAGCTCTACAGGTTGCTCAATACTCTCTGAGGTACAGTACTGTGGTTTACCCTCCTGCAAAAGCTGGATACTCTATCACACCATACTTGCCCCTTCTGGAGATGAAATCTGATTTTTTCATTATTTTTATTCTTCTCATTTTTCACTTCAGCAAGAATTACTGCTGCAGGGTTTCAAAACGCTAATCTGAAAAACCCTTAATTTTCTTTCTTCTCCACGTAAATCAAACTGATATGCTTCTTGCAGATATCAAACACAATGCCCTCGGTTTTGTCTCTTTTCTAAAAAAGCCATGTACAAAAGGAACATTGGCAGTAATATCTATTCAAGCCTAACCCCCTAACAAATGTATCTGTCTTGCCGTAGTACCATTCCTATCTGAAAACCAATCGAAAGAGTAGTCTGTACTATTGCACTATCTAGGTTCGCTTGCCACTGGCTGGAAGACAAAAGCCTTGCCAAAAAGTTAAGTCTTCCGAATTGTTCAAATTGTCTGCAAAACGCCACAAGTTGTTCAAAGGTCACTACCTGGCAAAAGAGTTTGAGTTTACAGAAAAATCTACACCTAAAAAGTCGCATGTACACAGGAGACAATGACTGACCACTCCGCAGATGAAGCATGGCTTGGTGTTAGACATTTCAAGTGTGAAGACCTGGTGGGAAGGGTGTTTGACTTCCAGCCCGCGGCCGAGATGCTCTGCTGGCGCTAGCCGTAAGCTGGGTCTGTGACCCAGGAAACACCAGCGCAGAGTCCAGGCATTTAGCTAATGACACTCACGGGGCTTTGTAAATAAAGCAATGAACAAACCAGCTTGTTGCCTACGGACCATATTCAAACCAGGAAAGGGAGTAATTCACTGAATGCCTTTGGAGACATTCTAGAGACCTGACTGAATGGATCCCTGGTCCAAGTTCTTGTCAAGAGCCATGTGATTCACTAACAAAATCTAGGATAGGCCAGGAAAGGGAAAACCAAAACCAGTATCTGGAACGGCGTTTCTATATGGAATTTCTTTACTAACACAATCAAGGCTGACAGGTTCCAGAGGCAATAGTAAAAGCTTGAGGTAGAAAAATGTGCTTTCCCTTTGAGAGAAAACAATGTGGCATGAAACACAAACTGGCATGCGATCCCATTAGAAATGTAAAAATCCATCTTGTAGTCAGTGCAATACACACTGAATGCTAGCACACATGGAGAACACCCTGGCTGTCACAGCAGCTGCTATTTGACACAAGCAGCCCATTTTATCCGCATCGGTATCACACATCAGGTACTGGATGCTTCCAACAGTCAGAGAAGCAGCCCCGTCACGCAAAGGTGCAAAGGGTGAGGAGACAGAACAGCCAACTAAAAGTAGCAACAGTTCCACAACTCCTGCTGCAACTGTAGCTCTTCTTCATAAGCAACAGTCAAGTCTTCAAACCTCTGTAGTTTAAATTTTTGTTGTGGGGGATGTCCAGACCAAAGAAAGTATCCGTGCTTTTTTTGTTTAATCCCCTCCTCTGCAAGAAGGTATAATTTCTGAATAGGAAAGCATGCTAACATAAGGAAAGATTCTAGCTAGGAGAACTCCAAAGATCCTTGCATTGTGGAGAAGAAAAGAAAGTTCTGACAGAAACTGACTCCCCTGTACACGGACTTGAAAGGGAAATGCAGAATGATCATGAGGACACCACCGAATATTTAAAACGAATACACAAAAAAAGCTTTCCGTTATTCTTCCATTTACTGTCCAGCTTTTGGTCTTCTGAGTCAGGTGCCAAATCAATCTTTGCCATGCTCAGCTTCTGAAAGAAAGTCACCTACTGATATTAAAAGGGTGAAGAATTCAGAACTTGAGACAAACGTACCTACGGTAAAATGCAATCAGATGCTTAACAGAGTAATTCATATCTGCAAACACATTATATGAAAGTAATCAGCAAACCTTGTTCAAGGAAGGAATTATCTCAACAAGGCATGGGGGTATCTTGAGCATTCTGTCATCTTCCTGTGGACACGCCAGCAGGTACCATTCAGGCCTGCTTCCTGTGACTAACACAGATGTTACTGAAGCAATACTGGTAACTCCCTTTTCGCTACTAAGAACAACTGAGCAGGAAGTAATTCAGAGATCTCTTCTGTGGCAAATATATTCTGAGAATTACAAGGAACAGACATGCTGTAATCAAGAACTCTTCATGAAATTTAAGACAAAGCTTGACAAAGTGCTAGACACAACAAGAGGCAACAAGTAAACATTTACAACTCGGTACTTGCTTCCAAAACACTGGTAGCAGGACCAATTTGCTAATCCAGTGCAAAGCCTGCCACAAATCAAAGACAGGTATGGCTACCTAGCACGAGAAGAGACAGATATTTAAAAGAATTCAAACACAAAAGCCAGTTCAAGAGCTAAAAAAAAGTCAAAACATTCCTCTCTGAACACATCTACAAGCTTTACCTAGCCTTTTTCATGATCTGCAGTAAAGGGTCTCCTTTCTAAATGCTGAAAAATCTGCACACTGTTAGGGTCCAAAACAAGCCAATTTCCTTATAAATTCTTCAAACGATGAATGAAGATTCTCAGCTGCCTCGATGGCTACGTTCAAGTGCCCGCCTATCCTCATACAGTATTCCTAACTAACCTATCCCTGGTTCCGATAACCCAGGCTGGGCAAGGCAAACAGGTCTAAGGGACTTTTTCAACAATCAGTTTTAACCACATCCTATTCTCTGCATCTCTTGCCACTAGCACTCCCTCCCTCCACCTGATCAAACGCATGCCATGTTTTTAAAATTTGGACATGACTTACAACTTTCCTTTCACTACAAAAAACCAGCTACTAGTCCTGTTCAGCATGTGTTGTCTCCACTGTTTAGCCTTCACGTAAGGAGACCACAGACGTTTTTTCCCCCTGAGAACAGGAGTGGCAACTTTGTAACTGAATCTTAAGTCCAGAAGAATCAATGCAGAGCATAAATCCTAACAAACCTAATGAGAGCTTATAAACCTAGAAGAGTCCCTAATACACCCAGAGCATAAAGTTCATGCACATTAAACCCTGAGCCGTCTATTTTCAGCCTAAATCGACTGCAGGCATAAAACATATAATCTGATGCTTAAGCCTTCTTTATGTAACCCTTACTACACTATCTTTCTGTCCAACTTTAATTATTTACCTAGCAACTCTTGTTAGCAAAAAAATTACTAACGTGTAAATATTACATGACATAACTGTGAAAATACCTGACATGTTTCACTGACTCAGAATAACTGTTTACGGCCTCTTAAATAGCTTAAGTTTTCTGGACGCTAAAATGTCCATAACACAGAACATAATAAAGGAGTATACGAACACTACCCTCTAGCTACAAAATGAGGACACATTTCTGGTTGGAGCAGCAGCCAACCCCCCCCCAGCTAAAACACCTATGGCTTAACTAAGAAATGTGTAAAAGGCGCACCACTACTTCATTTTTATGAATTGCATTACTCAAGGCTGTATCTAACTGCTACCTACCACCTCTGCCTGTTCCATATCTGCCCTGCTAACATACGTAGGCACACAGTGAATGGAGCCCTGCAAGACTAAAGCAAATGTTTCTCAGACAGATTTATCCTTTCTCAGCCCTCACCTGACCAGGTCTCCATGAAGTTGCAAAAAGAGGTTTTTCCTCCCTTCTCCATCACATATCTCAGACGCTGGGGTGTCCACTGTACAAAGGACCAAGCGCAAGTCTGAAGAAGCAGTAGCTGCTGAATCTCTTCCATAAATATACATGCAGCCTCGTCCGACGTCCTCTTTCAGCCAGTCCCTCTCACGGGAACCAAAGCGGCTCCTGTTCAAACAGCTCCTGCTCCCGTTGCGCTTCACGTTTCTCTGCAAGGCAGCCCAAACCAGAGCGTCAGCAGCTGCCTCCGAGTCGGCGTCTGACTGC